TGTTTGTGGTTGTAATGTGACAAAATATGGAAAAGTTCAAGGGGTATGAATACTTTTGCAAACCACTGTAATGGCTGTGGGGTAGAAGCTGCTTTTAGTCTCTTTGTTTTATTGCTCCTGGACCTCCTGTCTCATGGCTGATTGAAACTGTGACCCTGGTGTAACCAGAGTTCTCCACTTGCACCACCCTGTCTCCTGCATCACTTTGTACCCTGCTCCCATCCTGTGTGAAGAGGAGGGGGCTCAGCACACAGCCCTATGAAGAACAGGGGCCTCACACTGCAAAGAATGTCGACCTAACCAAGTTTTAAAACCTTATATCAGCCAAAAAGTCTTTTTGATCTTGTTTTGAGACTGATTTACTAAACAAGAACTGATTGTGTAAGAATAATAATCGTGTTTTCAGAATCTGTAAGATTATTTGTCTTGTTAGCCTGAAAATTTGACTCAAGTCAAAAATTTCTGCCAATGGAGTAAGAAAATTTTACTTGGTAAGATTCTTGAAATACTTGATTTGACTCAATTTTTTCTTCTTTCAAGAAAAAACTGGTGCTGTTGGTTGAGGAAGTGTGGGGGCCCACCCTGATCCTTTGGATTAAGAACCTCCTGACAGATCATACGAGACCAAGGCCTCAGAGTTTACACATAAATCTGTAGGGGAAGGATGGTGTTAAAGCATTCACTGGTTCCTGTTTAATGTTTCCAAAACTCCCTCACCACCTCTACCAGACTGAGAATTTATTATGCAAGCTGGCCCAGTGCCAGAAAACTGCCCTATTTAAATTAACGTCAATGACAAAAGTGCTCAGATATCAAGACAGAAAGATTTTTTATGGAGACAAAAAGCCTCTGGTCCAGTTGCAACCAGCTGTGGGACATTAACCAATAAGCTTGTGTTGGTTAAAGAATATACACATGGACAAAATTGTTGGTGCCCCTCGTTTATTGAAAGAAAACCCACAATGGTCACAGAAATAACCTGAATCTGACAAAAGTAATAATAAATAAAAATTCTATGAAAAATAAACAAATGAAAGTCAGACATTTCTTTTCAACCATGCTTCAACAGAATAAAAATAATTAGAAAACCATAAAACAGGCCTGGACAGAAATAGTGGTACCTCTGAAAATAATATATGATATGAATATGACCAGAGGGACTTGTTAAATCAAGGTGTGTCCACTAATTAGCATCACAGGTGTGTACAGTCTTGTAATCAGTCAGTGGGCCTGTATATATGACTACAGATTCTCACTGAGCTGTTTGGTGACATGGTGTGGACCACACTCTACATGGATCAGAGGAAGWGAAGGAAAGAGTTGTCTCAGGAGATTAGAAAGAAAATTATAGACAAGCATGTTAAAGCTAAAGGTTATAAGACCACCTCCAAGCAGCTTGATGTTCCTGTGACTACAGTTGCACATTTTATTCAGAAATTAAAAAATCCATGGGACTGTAGCCAACCTCCCTGGACGTGGCCACAGGAGGAAAACTGATGATAAATCAAAGAGACAGATAATACGAATGATAAGAAAAGAGGCCAGAAAAACCTCTAAAGAGATTAAAGCTGAACTTCAAGCTCAATGAACATCAGTGTCAGATCACACCACCCGTTGTCGTTTGAGCCAAAGTGGACTTAATGGGAGATGGCCAAGGAGGACACCAAATCATAAAAAAAGGCAGACAGGAATTTGCCAAACTACATGCTGACGAGTCACACAGCTTCTAGAAAGTCCTCTGGACAGAAGAGACAAAAATGGAGCTTTTTGGCAAAACACATCAGCTCTTTGTTCACAGAGGGACAAATGAAGCATATCAAGAAAAGAACACTGGGCCTCATGCAAGAACATGTTCATGTTCTTATCTCCATGATATCTATATTTCTCTTACTTTTGTTCGTACAAAGGGTTCGTACGAACATGTCACGTCAGATTCAACAAACTCTTCTATCTTCAGGAAAAGTGTGTAAATGAGC